TATATGATATATATAATATATATAAATTTATTAATTCATAAAACTTCAAAAATTCAATTTTTTTAGAAACAAATTAAAATTTTCGCCATTTTTAAGACAAACGATTCAAGTAAATATTATGATAAATAACCTGTGTCATAATGCAGTGATACGAATTTTGCAAACTCAGTTGGCCAAGGTTCCATATTTTGTATAAAAGACGCATTTTGTAAGCGTTCTGTTAGAGATATTATCTTAGAAAATTCAGAAGAGTAATTAATATCATTTCCCATAAGGACAAAAGCTTCATGTCCTTGATTGGGAAATGTTTGAGTTCGGATAGCTATATAGTGAGACAAATACGAGTCTTTTGGCAATAACCATTTTGGATCAAACCATTGTTGCAACTTAAGCAAGCCCATAATACTTGTAGACATCGTTACAAAAGTAATTAATACAATAATAATTTTCCCAGGTATGGTTAAGACTATTCGCGAGTAGAAGAAATTTATAAATTTCCAGGAGACTGCACTGCTCACGTCTGATGACTTGGGCGTAAAGTTTTCATGCGCGATACATGGAAACATTCCATTTCGTTTTCGTTCTATTCTTCTAGCATCCAAAGTAAAACAGGCAATAAAAAATGTAATTTGTAATAAAAATGTCACAAATACACCCACTGCAGCGTAGATACAAAATGACTGAAGTGATGGCAATATCTAGAAGAAAACATTAAGACGATATCTTTTTAATTATTTCCATGCAGATTAAATAATTAAATGACTAGATATTTTAAAACAAATGCAGAAATTAATTGATTGAATCAAATTGATAATATATAATATATAATTGGTTTTTTTTGTAGGAATAAATAAAAAAAGTACAGCAAATATTTTATAAAAACAAAGTTCTAAAAAAGTTCTATTCTCATATGAAATAAAATATTTTCATTATAATGACAAGAAAAACCAAATACATTATTTAATTAAAAACTATTCATATATATTATTTTCTTTTAAAGTATAAAATATATCCGAATAAATGTAAGTAACAATAAACATAAACATAAACAAAAAAAGTAACTGAAAAGTAACTAAAATTGTGAATTGGCCACAATAGTTACACATTCTTCTTCATGCGTATTGAATCATTAATTTTACATACTGTAGAAGCACCAATGATGAATGCCACGACGTCGGTAAGCGAGGTGATACTGATAGCAGAACCGGCATGGCCTAACATAAGCCCGATTCTTTCTGTTAATGGCTTATTTAAATTTGATTCATCAGTATGTATCTGCTTCCAAGATGCATTAATTACAAAAATATCATCAATCCCTAAACCTAAGAGCATAAATGGCAACGAAGTGTGCACTGGACCATACGGGATTCCTATTAGAGAGCATACTCCCACCGCAAGTACAAATGCAGCACCCACACATAAAAGACCGGTACTAGTAAGACAAAACTGCGGAAAAAGTGTAAAGAACTTTTACTAAATATAAATTTCAAATCATTCAAATATTATTATTCTTGTAATAATCATACATACCCGCCATTCCACCCAATTACGATTCGACAAAATCATTAAGACGTATAGAAACATTAACAAAATTCCTACAATTAATTTATCTATATCTTGAAACATAGATGAACCAGAAATGTCTCCGAAGCTTCTACCAGCTTCGTAATAAAGCATTAAAGAATTATTTCTTTCGCTTTGCAGTTGATACGAAAGATTTTGTATATTTTCCAGATAAGCTGATTCCCATTTTAATACATCCTCTGTAGCCTAAATAGATAACTGGTTTTTTATTTCTGAGTTAATTTTTACTTGTTTATTATTCGAATTAGATTTCAATGTTATGAATTAAAATAAAATTCTGAATAATTTACAGTAAAGAATATTATGTTGTAATTAATAATAATAAAAGTAATAATCTTATATAGAAAAAAAAAACAGTCATATAGAAAAAAACAAATAATTTACATAAATAGTATAAATAGTACAATTATTAATTTTTTAATATTGCCACAATAAAAGTATATGTATTATATTACAAATATAAATAAGATTTATCAAGTAATTTATTAAGAGATATAGATAATAAAAATAAAATAAGAATAATAATCTGATATATAACTTTGATATCACATATTATTATTTAACAAATAAAGAATACAAATGATAGAATGTAATAATAAAAGGCCCAAATCATATTAAAATGTGAAGAAAAACTTTCAGTCTTTTTCTTTTAAATCAATTTTCTATAATTATTTTCAGTAATATAAAGTTAAGATAAATAATTTAAGGTAAGATAAACTTTATGTCATACATTTATTCAATATTAAGGCAATTTTTAATAAACATGATTCAGGCCTTGACATGAACTCACCTTACCCAATCAGCAGTTCCCGCATTGTTTCCAATTTTATTCATGTCCACATTGAGAAAACTAACATGAACCATCAGATCAGTCCGTACAGCTCCCGCAGCGATAATCCTACCGCTTTTATCTAGAGTTACGTCTCCCAGAAGATCACTGAAATTCATGGCGTGACCCAATGTGGGACTCACTTTTACTGTATTTACCTTCGTGATAATATCTTCTGCGGAATCTTTTTCAATTTTAGCGCTATCAAAATTCCATATATCTAAGATACTAAACAAAAGGCAACTCATAGGTAAACTCTCAATTAGATTACAATATAAATTACTATCGACATGAACGGCAGGTTCAAAGGTTTGATTAACTTTAGAAGAGAGATCATCATTAAAAAAATCGTCTTCGAAAAGAGAATTTTGTCTCTTATTTCTCTTTGTAACACCAGAGATAACAGGAATCCTGTAAATAAAAATTTCCTTTATATGTATGCATAATTGATCACTTTTTTACACTCATATCAAATTTTACAATATACAATAAAATTAATTTTTTAATGAAAATTTTACAATTTAAAAATTTGTGCTTACTTCATACAGACATCTGTCCAAGAAATGTTCTCGATCGATGTCTGAGTAGAAATCATTTGTTTAGTAATTTCATTTAACTGCAACAGAATAAAAAATATATTCTGCACTATTAGTAGAGTATTTATTCTTTTTAGATGAACCACTAAGAACACGATTCACTTTTTTTTCATGTTGAAAAAAAAAGAAAGAAAAAATAAACTGTGCAAATTTAATCAAAAAGAATAGACCCAATCAATTACATGATAGTTAAGAATAAATCGAGAGTCAATTAAGATAAATCATCCCTTCATATAGTTACCCTAATAAGCGTTTGTTGTTCTAAAACATTATCGTCAGTTAAAATAAACGTTTGAATTCGCAGAGTTTCTAAGTAATGTGACATTAGCCATTCAGTAGTCGTCACAAAATCAGAATCTGATGGAACCCAAAGTTTGATGGGATTCTTTTCCTGTCGGAAACGAAACAGGCCTAGGACACACACTAATACTACCATAAAACATCCGAGCATCCATTTATATGGACTTTGAGCGATGTGTACTCCAAGCCTGTAGATAAAAATAACAGCGTTGCTCCATTGTTAAACTGTTCAGCATTCAGTTTGTTGAAATATTCCAAGACAGAGACTTACTGATAGAACAAATGTTCTACCGTCCTAGATATGCGTTCTGGTAGACTGTGCCAGAATCTACGGCACGATTGTATTTTAACCCGATCTTCGTGCAGTTCCATTTCTTCCTTGACCATTGTATGGTTGTGCTCCAAGATTCACTATCAATACTGAAAATTGAAAATACACGTAGATTTTCAGTGGGCAATGGATTTTTGGAACACAATTGAAACAGTCGAAAAAACAAAATCAGCGATTATAATGTAGCGTCTAGTCAACGCAAACCCTTGCCAACTGACAAGACAATCACATGACACACATGACTAAATTGATGACAATTGCACTGACTAATTGCGATTAATTATACTATTATGATGTATTTATGTATTTTCCATATTACGACCATCATGAATTTATATGTAATCGCGATTCTCGATATTGTTTAACTTTGATAGCATGCTATAACCTATAACCAAAAACTCCCAAAACCTAAATGGCGATGCAGCGCTCATATCTTCGAATTCGCATCATAAATAAATTACAAAAATTTGCTAACGCTGTTGCGAGTGTATGCTTGTTGCAGATATGAGATATCTGAAATATATTCAAAAATAGTTGGCATTGTTATTCACAACGCGAAAAGATCATCACATCATTTACGTTGTCTGCTAGGGCATCTCTATGCGCGAATACGCGATTGGTCGATTGTTAAAGGCAGGTGCACAACGCAAAAGTATTTTTCATACTTTATTCGATGCTCATTTTTAGCATCAAAATAGGCGATCTGAAATGATCAAAATTAACGCTAAAAATGATCTATTTTGATGTCAAAAATGTACATCAAGTATCACCATAAAATTGTACCTTCACAATAGAACTCGAATTGAGCACCTCTGTACTAGAAATCATAGCGCAGTGCGCACAACGATCTGCGCATTACGTCATTTGAATCAATCTGAAAATCCGTTTGAATGTCGCGTCGCGCGCGATCGGAACTTCGCCTTGGATTTTCGCGTTGTTTAATCGTTCAGTGTGATACAGTGTTGGGATCGCCATGTTGTACCAACAGATCAAGCCGATTAGCGTCGAAATTAACATCGGAATCGTGTATAATCGAGGTATGTTAAACCGTATATATATCGTGCACAACAAGCTTCAATACAAAGATGGTCGTAACTGAATCGTGAAATGTGAGTCGCAGTCGTAGGTCAACGCACAATGTTAGTTCAATCTATAACGACAATTTACGTTCTATGATTCAAGTTATAGTCACACTTTGTGCTTAGGTCCTAAGTTGTTTTTCGAAAATGCTAGCCCTGCAAACGAGAATGGATTGAAATGAATTCAGATTTTCAGAAATATTGATTCACGAATGTTAGAATGAATGCTTTTCAATCCTGAATGCATTTTTATTCATTTATAGGAATTGCATGGAACATATCTCAATGCTTTTCAATCTAAAAATAATATTAGCTTTTTCTGTGCACAACACATTGTGAATACTACACACATATTGTGAATACTATTCAATTCAAAATTTTGAATAGGAAATTAGTTTTTCAATCCAATTGCATTCAATTGAATCTAATTAAATCCAATTCAATCCAAATAAATCCAAAAAAAAGTATTCGCTATTTAAAATACGCATTCGGATAGAAAAAAAATTCAATCCATTTTAAACCATTCTCGTTAGTTGAGAACAAATAATTGCACTCATTATATGATTGTGAGTTTGTTTTGCGTATAATACGCATAATGTATCATTTTATTTTTATTCTTATTATTCATCGAATATAAAAAAGGATATAAAAAAGAATAAATGATACATCATGCACATTATGGGAAACAAGGTACCTCATGTATTTCTTCACAATGCAGTCGCAACAGGTATAACATAAGACAATATGTATATGTGAAAAGTGTTAGAGTATGAGATTTATTAATTTTTACTCTCATTAGCTCTTGTTTTTACTTTATATTTTCGAGAGTTCTCTGGAATTTTTCTTTCTTTCTCTTATTTTGTATTACAGGTCTTTTTATATTATTTATACAGCACAGAATTTGCAATATTGCTGTAAAATCTCTGCAATGTTGTTGCAATGTTGTAGTAGTATTGCTATAATTTTTGTGCTGTAGGGATATTGATTATATATAGGATAAATACTCTAAAAAATTTTAAGGAATAATTTTTCACACAAATTCGAAACGAAAACTTCATGTATTTCGTCCCAAATGGCTGTAGAATTTCAAAGATACAAAATGTCAAAGTTGAAGGAAAAAATTCATCTTTTCCAAAAATTTCAAAAACTATTCGAATTATTTTGATGAAACTTTAAAAAATTTGTATAT